GGCGGGGGGGCCGGCCGAACCGGGATCATATATAATCATTATAGAAATATAATACACAATAATATATGCAATATAAAACACCCTTTTTCATAAGCTAAATCAGATAACACACATAATACATATATATATATATATATAGTATATATGATAAAGCAGAATATATATGTACATATACATATATATATATATATATATAAGAATTAATATACATATATACATATATGTACACACATATGCATCTGTACATGAATTGCCCAAGACCTATGAACTCGAAAGAAATGAAGCGCTAGCATGTTCCCCCAACCTTAAGACGTCCCCGGCCTGCCCGGAGAAAGCTGGGCCATCCTCCATCTGAAGTGAGCGCACTCCTGGCTTCAGGAGGGTCCAGCACATTGTGATCGAGCACTATGAGTCTCTCCATCTCTGAACATCATGGCCAGCACCAGCACCATGTCCGTAACACATCGGAAGAGGAGCAACGGGTGTGGCCACAGGTCTGCTAGGAAACTAGCACGACGGATGCTAGCGTCATATTGGCTGCTTTATCATCGCAGTATGTGGGAAATCATCTCGTCAGCAGAACTATCGTCATAAGAAGAACAGGTTAAATCTTGCAGCCAGCTGATGCACAAACAGTCATCAACTGATTATTTCTAATTACAGGCATCATCTTACTAGTGGCCATACAAGACGATGCTAACACCACCGCTTGTGACGATCACGGTACCTGGCGGCGGCTCTAGAACAACAGGAGCAACATGGGTAATCATCGAAATGACAAAACCAGGCTCGGCAGAGATTCTGAACCTGACACAGGCCGCTTTGGTCCTGCTTTGGGAGGCTTTGGAGGACAAGTCGTCAGCCCATAGCCGGTTTCGGCTGCGCTGTGCCTATCTCATTAGGACGCTGATTGCAGCAGCGGCACTAGGGATTTTTACCCTATCCTTCTGCACCATTCGTGGCTGAAAAGTTAAGGGACTTCAGTTGTTCGGGAACGCTTGCGCCCCCATGCGGCCCGCCAGTGGTGCACAGTACAGTCGGGATAGGCGTCCCATGACAGCCAAATGAGTACTAATGTCACTACTGACATGCATGGCGAACCTGGCAGCAATAAGGCTCTGAGCCCTTGAGCTTCGAGGGTACTTGGAGGTTCATGGGTAGTTATAAGTGTGATTATAAGTAAGGTAACTATAGTTATAACACCCCATATTAGGGGACTTATAACCCCACTTATAACTGTTTCAAACTGTGGATTCCCATGCTCGTCCTTGCAGCTGCCCTGGCTTTGCTCCCCAAATCCAGCTTGGAGTACCCTTCAGGGCTCTTGAAATCAGGATGGTATGGGGTTGCTATTGGGTCTTGGGGCTTTGAATGGGGCTTTCAATTTTTTCGAAGATTCAAAGGCTCTGGGAGCTTGCTGGGGCTGCCAAAATGGCTTTGATAATCCCTGGTTCACATCCTTTGTCCTGACTGGCAGGAGCCGAAGGAAGCGAGGGGTCTGCTTGAGAGGACCTCGCTCTGTACAGGTCAAAAGTCAAAGAGGTCTCCGTCATCCTTGTCACAGCCGGCAGTATAGGCGATCGTAGTGCCAGATTGACGAATAGTGACAGTTATTGTTATTGCCATATCATAACTGTTCTTATTGCTGTAGTCATCTGTGTCACTGCTATCATGGACATTGATATTACTCTTTATTCTTCTCGCAGGCAAAGCAACACAACCGCATCTCTGCAATACATCAAGACAGTCAGGCCGTCTCGGCCATTGGGCTCACTGCGTATTTGAAGCATGCTTCATGTGCTCCATTGAATTCATGGAGATTATTGTACGAACTCCACGGCTCGCAGGGACTTCTTCGCACGCTTTAGCAGCACTTGCTCCATGGGCTCAAACTCGTGGGGGCTTTCATGGAAGACTTCCTTGGCCTTCTTCTCAAGCCAGGTCACCATGGTACCTGAGCCGTGGCCATAGCCGAATGGCAAGACCCTCAAGTCCCTCGTCTGCGCCTTAGGCGGTGGGCCAAACGCAGGCGGATACTGCGGCCGACCCTTCGCAAGGTCCTCCTGGATTTTTTCATAAATCCAGCTGGACAGTGAGCCTGAGCCGTGCCCGTAACCACCAGCCAAAGGGACGTAGTCCATGGTCATAATCATCGGCGGGGAGCCCCAGGACTCTGGGAACTCAGGCAGGGCCTCGACTCCCCAAGCGAGCACCAAGAGGAGGGATCTCATGGCCTTCATGGAAACGGGGGGGGGGGGGGGATCTTCCAACGAGCTAAGCTCCCGGAAGCTTACAGCTGCGGCTACCGGGCAGTGGGTGTTCGGCAGATCTGGAGCTGGTATACACATATATACAGACATAGCAGATGCGTGTGTATATGTCTGTGTATGTATATATCTATATATACACACAAGTATAGATGCATACGCACACACAGATTGTTATGATTGTTCGTGCTGTGCTTGCTTCGTCTTTCGAAATAGTTATCACTATTGCAAGTATTGCCACAGCATTGCTATCACTGTTGTTGACTTTACGTCCTTGGGCATACTGCAATGTTGGGCACTGCAGCAACATGTGCAAGCGACTTGCATTGACAAGGTGTCGTGATGTTACGCATCGGACCGTGCTTCAAGAGATGTTCCCACCGGGTACTACGGCTCAGAGATCCTCTGAAGATCTCTGAAGTGAAACTTCCGGACGGAGCTGCACTAGTCTTTAGATGCAGCTCAGATCGATGCGAGGTCATTAGCTTAGGGTGCCGGCCACCAGCCTGAGAAGACAGCACAGTCACAGCGTGATCACCCCAGCCTTCCGAGCTGACCGTAGCCTTATAGTGAACTTACTCACTTACTCATCGGTTCTTTTCCACCTGAAAATAACAACCTCGTAGTATCCTTCATATGCTGACGTTATAGTAACATTACGGTAGCCTCATAGTACCTTCTGCACCGTAGCCCTATAGCATCGAGTTTGGGGCCTGTCGACATAGGTTTCAAGAGCTTCCGAAGCTGATGCCAATAGGTGCCCCGCGCATCCATCCAGGCTGCATCCACGAACTCGTCTTGGATTTTGCCTGACCTTAGTACACTGCACTGAACGGTACTCTACTGTACTCCACAAAACTATGCTATGAAAAGATAGATGCTATGAAGCATTAACCAGTTAGGTGAGATGACTTGGAGATTTACTTTTGAGCAAAGCTTCGGATGCCTGCTAAGCGTGGTTCATGGGTGTTCACAAGCCCCCCAAGGCTCAAACGGATCCGCCCAGAGATCGTCCACCTGCGTCTGTATCGGTGTTGTTGGCGTCCGAGCAAGTAAAATGGGGCTTGGATGGATGTTATGCCAGACTTGGACAGTGCTACACAAAAGCACGGACCTATATACCAGCAAGCCTTCTAGACGACATTTATTCGGTTCATTTGTGTTTGACAGTGAGTGAGTGAGTGAGTGAGTGAGTGAGTGAGTGAGTGTCGACCAGCACTTACGGTGCGGCCTACCTCCCACGTCCCTCTCAACATCTCAGGGGGGCTCCGCAAGCGTCATCGCCCC